CACCTCCAGTCTGATGAATCCTGCTTTTAGCATCTCCGGAGCTGCTTATTTGGAAAGAATACCAAACCATCAATATTAGAAAATGTTTTGAGTATTTCTTCTGCATCAGTTTTACAACACAGTAACAGTTGTCATAAACATTTCTAAGGAAGATTGTTACTAAGGATTCTGTGGCTGGAGGATAGATGTCTCAAAAATGCAGTCTAAATTCAGGTGCTTTTCAAGTCAAAACCACTGACAAAGGACAGGGTCCCACTTGAATGGGTCTGGAAAGCTCTGAGATCTGAGTACTGACTCAGGAAAAAAAAAAAAAAAAAAAAGAATTCCTGAACAAGGAGTTTGAATTGGTAGGTCTGGACTGAGAGTCTGACATCTTCACTCTCTTCCCTAGACATTATAAAAAAAAAAGTGTCTTCAGCAGAAGAAGACACATTGGTGAAAGTCAGGTTAATTCAAATTGCCTAAACATCTTTCAAGGCCCAGAGCAGACATCTGAACACTTCCAACTATTATATGTTTTACCTGTCAAGAGTAAGAGGCGGGAATTGCAAGAAAGAARGGTAACTTGTCTGGATGGTCCTTGTGCTCACAAAAATGGTTCATTTCTGGATAGASCTCTGTTTTCTCTCAAAGGTAGACAAAGCTCTACAAGTGGTCACTTGTCCAACTTGTCAGGCAGGCTGAGTTCTCTGCTCTGCTGTGTTTTTAAGCTTCTGCCTTTTCCAGTACTTTTCTCTACCCACACAGACATTGGTAATGGACATGACTGTTGGTTTCAGTCAGGAGGATGACATTTATCAATTAGAATCTTGAAGCACTCCTTCTGAAGCAAATAAGATAAACCCTTTTCCATGTTTCTCAGGTTTTCTTATTCCTGGGAGCATGATGGCTGCAMTTCTAATTGTGTGGATTCCACTTAAAGAGAAAAAATATGCTGAATATAAAAAAAAAAATCAGTTCATGTAATGTTCAATAATGTAACATTCCATTCCACATCTTGTAAATCCCATGGGCTAGGGAAGAGGTATCTGTTGTCTTGTTCACATGCTGATGCAGATAAAATTTTCTTTGGCCAACTGACATCCATGGGTTGGCTCACTTTAGGGCTAGGAATCTCAAAAAAATCCCTTTGGGGTTGGCTTCTACACACCTGACTCTGGTGATAATAGAACAAGAGCTGAGTTCTTAGAAATCAAAGGTCAGTTCAAGGAGCTGTTTTGAAAAATGTTGACTCAAAACCAGCTTCTAAAATTTGAAGCAATGTGTTGAGGCATATCGGGAACCTATTTTATGCAAATGCTCAGTACCTGCCTCCATAAATTAATTTCTTGAGTTGTGTAAAAAAAAGTTGAAAATCTCTTTATCACCARTTCACCATCCTAATCTTAYATATAACTCYCTGCTTCAGCATGGGATTTTGTGGYRTCACCAATCAATGGGTTTGAGCTAGGGTCATACTATGGTTGTAAGACAAACCCTGTAAACTCCCAACCTGTGCCATTAGGATGAGGAAGAGCACGACAAATTCAGTTTTCAAACACATTTCTGAGACCTTGGTGCATGCTGGAAAACCCCAGAATTATCATCATCTTGGAAAGGTTCTTGTTCCTCTTCTGCCCCCCATGATGCCTGTTTTTCCCTGCTGCACACTTTCTGTTAAAATGTTCTTGGATATTCTCTGATTCTCTGTAGACCATGCAAGGGGCTGTAGCATTTATGATCCCCCTACTGACAGCCTCAACACAGCCTGGCAGAGAACTGTCTTCTTGTTATCCAGCAGCTCTGGAATCACTCTGACCTCAGGATAAGGCAAGGTGAAAAACAAATAAATCTATTTCTATATTACCACATATTAGAATATATTTATATAAATAAATACATATAGATATATAAAAGATAATATATTTTTATTCTATCACATCCCACACAGGCAACATAATTTCAGAAGTGATAAAGTAATGACAGCAATCAAACAAAACAGCCCTCACTCCTGCTTTGCAGATGTTAAATCTTCCTGCATTTTGTTTCTTTTTATCCAGTTTCCTGCTCATGATTTTTGTGGTAGAGGGTTGGAAGAAATTTAAAACAGCGTCAAAATTGTTTCTTTTTGTGCAATACACTCCTGCACTGTGCTTAGGTACATTTGCTCAGATCAATTCCAGCAGGCCATCAGTTTGTGCCCTGGGAGCTGGACTGGTGGGCACTGGAATTGGGCAGCTCCTCTGGGATGTCCTGGGCACGATCCCTGGGAAAGGCACTCCGCTATCCTGGCTCACCCAGTGCCTACATACACATGCATATTCATGACTGGCTATTCTTTCAGGCAAAAGAGAAAATTTCCTTAGAAAATTGCAGCAGCAGAACAGGGCTGTGCTTTCAAGTATTTTGTCTTTCCCAAAAGAAAATAGCTGATGCCATGAAAAGTTTTGTGCAGCCGTAAATGCGCTCAACTGTGCTGTAATGTTTCATGGAGGGGGAATTTTCTTTCCCAGCCCAGCTGCTGAATAGTTTGTGCCTCCGGGCTCCATGAGGAATTGAGAAATAGGACCAGGCATCATGCTAATTTTTATAATTTTTCACCCCATTTGCAATAATCTGGGACACAGAGATTTCCCCGTGTGGCAGAGCATTCCTTCCTGCCTCCAGTCTGAAATCACATGTGCAGACACACGTACACACAAACACACACTTTTGTAACTCATCTCTCCTTCAGGACATTTTAATGAGGAAGTGTTTTGGAGGAAAGCCTCCGCACCTWCCTTCACACAATAGTCTCTGATCAATGATTTTTAAAGGGCATTGCAGTCAGTCTGGGACTAATGCTGACTCTAAGAAGGAAACACACACCTGTTTACGTTTCCAGTTTCTGCTTATATATGCATTTATTGTAGCNTTTTTTTTACCAGCAAAACGCTTCACTCAGTAAAAAGTGATGTGCTAAGATGGAAGCTGGGATATTTGGGATTTTCCTCTTTTGACCAAGATATCTCAGAAGATGAGGGGAACATTTCAGAACTTAGGTCTTCCCTGAATTATTTAGGTTATCTAGTCTAATGTTCAACCATTGACATTGAAATCAAAAGCTTATTTTATTAGAAGCAAGGGTATAACTTTTGTAATAGGCAATTAATTAGGCACTTACATGCAAATAAATAAAGTTAATTTTCCTAAATTCAGCTGACTTGTATTCTTTGGCCTRAGGATAAAACTAATAAAGTTTCCAAGAGTCTCTTCAACAATGTTTCCTATKAATTCTTAATTATTTTAATGTTTTTCTGTAGGGATGATGTTCTACTTCAAGACCAACACTAATCCTCCCTCCTGTCTTTTCCCTTSCTTTTTTTTTGTCATAGTTGCAACTTGTGGCTCTGAATTCCCCATTGTCTCTGGATGCAGAGGAATGGACAGATCAATGAAAGCCATTTTTAGTGGTAGTTTTTTGAGTTTCCATGTTCCTGTCAATCATGGGTGATGAGGTTGGGTGGCATCAAAATGTTTCTTTTACTCTTTCTATATTTTTTTCATTTCCCATGTTTATCCCACTGTATTTTCAAGACTTCAAGGATCTGTGGTACCACAGAGCCCAGGAATTCAATCTGTTTCCTTGCTTTCTACCATTGCCCAATGTATCCTTTCCACTGGAAAGGGCCACAAAATGTTCTCCTTTCTTTTTGACCTGTTTTGGACAAAGCAGCATTGTTTTGCCTGGATACAGATTTTGAAATGGTGTGGGCAAGTCCTTCTCTGTCTCTCTGTGCTCGCCCCTGGAGCTGACCTCACTGTGCACAGTTCACAGCTTCGTGGGCTGCTCCTCGTTCMTTCACTCGAGGCCTCTGGGCTCTGTGAAAGCTGCTTCACAGGATTTTGCCTTAGACCATCAAGATCTCTTTTTTGCCATCATCAGAATGACCTTGAAGCTCAAAGACACATTCCAGGCAAGGCTCCTGATMCTGAGGAGCTGGTCTCTAATGAGGGGAAGGAATTTGTCATTGCCTAACTAGAGTGYCCTTTGCAAGCTGAGACTCATTGCTCTGCGATGGCATCTTCTAAGTCTTTCACATTCCTCTGCTGATTTTCACACCTAAGAACAAGACAGAAGCAACTGTCTCTTGCCCCCAAGATTCCCATCTACAGTAGGAGGGTGATTGTATATGGGAAGGCTTTAAAATGATTAGACACCTGTCAGATTGTCTTTATCCTGACTCTTTCATGAAATTGAGTTATATTTTTCTACATGTTCCAGCATTGATTGAGAGAGCTCTACTACAGAATTAAGTGTTATGAAATTGGTTTAAAGAGAAAAACAAATAAGGCTAAGAAGTATGTTTGTTATCTGATTTATAGTATCTTCAACTCTCTCATTTGTAATAGTATCAGCTTTTACTATAACTTACCAAGGGAAAAACACACTAAAATATTTCATAAAGCAAATGGGTTCTTTGCTAAGCCTGCATCTGTCTCTGTGACCTGAGCTGTGTCATTACCCAAGAGGCCAGGGGCTCTGCTGGTTACAGCTCCCTTTACACTGAGGCCTGGCAGGAACCACCCCAATTCCCTTCTCTGTCCTGCAGGGAGCTGTGATTTTCCTTGGGAATGAAGGACTCAGCCAGGATGGCCATGGCTGTGCCCGGGGTACATTGGCACAGTCGGCTCCAGATTGAGGGAGTGTGAGAGCTTCTGCTTGCCTCCCCTTGCTCTGCTTGAGCAGAATTCTTTTGAAACAGCATGCATGTGATGTGACTATCAACCCAGATTGTGCTTGGAAGAAGCTCAGAAGGCAGAATCTTCATACCTTCAGTGCTGCTGCTGCTGCTGCTTCATGAGCTGWCAGCACAAAAGCTGTCCTGAAGCAAGGTCTGTCTGTGAATACTCAGTGTTGCAGAACATTTATATAGCCTATCTTTATTCAGGAGGAATATAAATGCTTCCCTGAACAAATAAAAATGACAAATTTGGGTTGAAATAAAAAAAAACAAACCTACTTTCAAGTATCACAGAAATTTATTTGTCTGGTGGCTGAAAAGACAACTACTTTCTTGCTGTTTCAAGATGATAGGGGAAGCAGATGCATCAGAGTTTCTTCAGGTGTCTACAAAACAAGATGTGGAAAGATATTCAAAAACACAGGAAAAAGAAAATTATCCGGGAGATACTGAAGATGGATTTTGGATGGATCATACTTCTACAAACATTGGAACTGGAAGTAAACAAATCCCTTATATTTCAGTTGTTAAAGAGCAGCCCCATAAAAAGGCTGTGATCTGCAGGCAGTGAGGTCAGCAGGAGCTTTGGTCAGGCCCTACAAGCTTTGCTTTGGGTCTACAAATACGGAAGAAAAAAGTGCAGTTATCTGTGCCAGTGGTCATTTAAGAACAAGAGTTATCCATGGACCAGGAATGGCTGTGCTTTGGTGAAAGTTTTCATAAGTGCACATGTATGTTGTTAGATTGCCAGGGGGTCAAATCATGCAAATGTCAAATATTTTCATTAATCCATTTTTTCATC